ACAAAACAAACAATCAATAAAATGCCATGCTTTCTGTTATGAAACAGGTAATGACCATTATGAGTTCTTATTGGTATTGGCATAACTGAAGATTGGCCATCATAAAAAGTTTCAGCAAGCATGCCTTTATTCAGTTCAAATATTAATTTTGGATGCTTTGGATGACAGGCAATAAAGCAGCTAACTGCTTTCTATTGTTTTGGAATTATTCAGCTTGTTGACACCTTTCGGGGCTTAGACAGATCTATTACTAAGATAAACAGGACACATTATTGCCACCCTTCTCTGTGTCGTGTTCAGGTGTGATAAGTAAAAAATCACCTCTATTTGAGCCCTTTTTTCCTTAATACCCTAGTAAATGATCAATATCATCACACTTTTTTGGAGAACACCTTATGGAATGACTGGTGTGTGGAACTGTCACATATTTAGCTCATCATACCAATTGACCAGAGTATTCACCAATTATTTTTTAGTTGCTTGAGTCTGCCATGCCCAGTGACATCTACCTAGATGTCGCCAGTGAACGTGGTGGCGAGCGTTTGTGGTGTCGGGGCGGGGGCGCTGTTGACAGGGTATTTGACGTGCCCAGCAGGCCGGTAGTGAGGCGTCTGTTCCGGTCGGCCTCACCAGCGGGCGTCTGCCAGATGGAGGACCCGGAGCTGATGGTGGGCCCCGTGGCCGAGGCGCTGGGCGTGACAAGAACCTGGCTGCTGAGCAGCGACGACCCGCTGCCCGAGCACATCGACCTGCCGGTCAGCCTGCTGGTGGAGCTGATGGACGCGGCCGACTGTCTCTACCCGACCGAGGAGCAGCGCTGGAGACAGGTGGGGCTGGAGCTACCGCTGCCGCTGCGGCCGCTGGCTCGTACGCGCGCGCGGCTGTCATTAGCGGCCGATGCTCCGTATCACCAGCCGGCTGTGGTGGAGGTCCGCCTTCACGCCGTCCGCGTCACGCTGGCCAAGCCGTCTTGGTTGAGTTCTGCGTGGCTAGGTCGTCTCCCCAGCTGAACTTCCGACACGTAGGGGGGGGGGGGGGCGTGGCTTTTGCTGCCGGTGACCTCGCCTGTGACGCCGGATCCGTGCCCCACCAGATACGCCAGTGGCTGAGCCGGCTAACGGGCCGGCCGGCGGCCGAGTTTGAGCGCGCCGCGCCGCTCATGCTGGCCGTGCGGCGCCAGTTCCGGCTCAGTCGCGACGAGGACCTGCAGGCGGTGACGGTGTGGCGGCGCGCGCAGCCGCGGCCGGCCGAGCTCAGTCAGCTGCAGCTGACGGTGCGGCCCGAGAACGGCGCCCGCCTCCGCCGGCTGGTGGACCAGCTCGGCTCCGAGGAGGCCGCCATCGACTTCCTGCTCCAGATGGACGACAACTGCGGTACGTCGCCGACACCACCGCGCCGCCCCTCGCCCCTTTAGAGCGGCAGCCGGCCCGGCGTGCCGTCCCCTCCCCTCCCCTCGCCCCTCCAGGTGGGCTGCAAGTCTGCCACGCTGACCTCTGGCCTCGCATTAAGCTGACTGCCGGGTGGTGCCCAGTGCGGCTGGTACTGCGATCCGAGGGACGAGTCGTCTGAGTATTTGAGTTCAGTCCTCTGCTGTAGCGCTGCAGGCTGCAGACCCGCCTCGTCGTGTGTCGCTAGTGCTGCGTGGGAAGCGGGCGGCGCCGTCTGCCGTGATGTCGGTGCTGCGCGGGCGGCGGGCGGCGCCGTCTGCCGCGATGTCGGTGCTGCGCGGGAGGCGGTCCGCGCCGTCTGTCGTGATGCCGTTGCCGCGCGCGTCTGACGCCGCCGTCGGCCGGCCGGCAGGCAAGGGCGCCTCGCTCCGCCGTACCCGCTGGCCGCCCAAGGTGCACTACGAGGCGAGCCGCGGCCAGGTCAAGATCGACGTCGGCACCGAGATGGTGTGCGTGGTGCTGTCACAGTTCAAGCCGGCCGCGACGCCGGCACCGGCGGCGGCGCCCGAGCCCCAGCAGGTGGTGGCACCGCCTGCGCCGCAGGCTGTCTTGGAGGTAAGTCGCCGCCGCAGCCCGGCCCGCGTGCAGCCCACGTGAACTGGTGCCGGCAAGGACTCGCTCTCTGGTCTGGTCACTCCCCGTTTGGTACCGTCGTTTGGCCGCCGCGTGTGATGCATCGTTCATTACGGAAAGCTGTATGCAGCCTATCCCAGTCATGTGGAGTTGGGATGTCTTGTTCGTGAGTTGAAAAACCCTTCAGCAGGGACGCCCTGGAAGCGTCCGGTGTGTCGCTGTGGACAATCACATCCCGTTTCATTGATATCTCCGTCTAAGCCATCCGATAGCTCAGTTGGTTAGAACGCCTGCCTGTCGACCCAGCCACCGGTGGCGGGAGGAGTTCGAGTCGCTTTAGGCGCTCGTTGTTTGCCCTTAACCGACATAGTTTGCGGCTGCGCTAAGTCAGGTAGGCAGGGCGGACCGTGCCGAGCGCTGGCGTATGACCTTTCGCTGTTTTTTCTATTGACTTGGAATTTTACAATCACATGGTAGGAGACAGGGTGCGCGTAGCAAGGCTGATTAGTGTGGGTTCTGAGCTCAGAAATCCGTCCATTTAAGAAGTTTGAAGTAAGTTGAAAAAGTAACTCCCGGAGTATTAAATGATGTGTCCCACCTTCGGGACATTTTTAAAAAAATATTCACTTGGGAAACCTTGGACCAGTTACGTCTAACAATAGCACTGGTAAGTGTCATTGCAGGACCGTCCAGACGTAATAAGGATATCGATTTTAATTCTGCTTGGTCCAAATTACGCTCTCGACGCACTGAAGTATCTTTGCGCTTCTTCCCTGCAGTCGCGACTGCCGTTGTCATAATAACCGCCGTGGCACCTCAGCTGGTGCGAATAAAAGAACGTTTGTGATAAGTCCAGCGGGGAGCAAGGGCCTGTTACCAAGAAGCGCATTGTTCGAAGTTTGAATCGATGTGTCACTATGGACCATGTGATACTCACATACCCAAAGCCAGTGTGCCCCGAAAAGAGCCCTGTGGTAGACATCGCAGGGGATAAATCAAAGCCATAGTACAACTTGTCTTTGAATTCGCTGAATAGCAGCTTCATGTTCGCATATATTACGTCGATACAGAGTATCCCAAGCTTAGGTAGCATTTCTTCCACAGACACTTTTGCAAAGTACTGAGTTGCAATAATGGCAGAACACACGTATTGGAAAAGGGAATACAAATGAAGTGCATCGCTTTCATAGTGGTAAGCGGGAAGTCCGGTGAGATTTCTCCCGCAGAAACGTCAATTTAAAATCCTGAACTTTTCAGAAGGATCTTGAGAAAGTGGAAATAACTTATCAAATTGTACGCGTCGGATCACAATAAGTGAAAAGTACGAACAAGGTGACATACGCCCTTTAAAGATCAGCTATTTTTGGCATAAAAGACCAATGCCCAAGAAACAAGAGCTCAAGTAGTCTCTTGCTTATATAAGTATTACCACACGGACGTAGTGCGTAACCGATAAATATATCTACGTTCAGGTCTGTTTAGAATCGCATTACAATACTTCCATGCACCTACCCGCACCTGGCAGAACCAGTCCACACCGTTTTCCGTCACGCGTTGAACTGTGCGTTGATTCGGTACACACCTGCTGCCCGAGCAGTGGTCGGTGCTACTGGTCCTGGTCTGGTATGGGGGGGGGGGGGGACTTGATGGCGTGCGCCTGACCGGAGCTGTACCGCCAGGTGGTGGCCGCCCCGGAGGCGCCCGTCGTGAACGGCCACGAGCCGACGCCGAGCGCGCCGGCGGCCGACGGCGCGCCGCCCGCGCTCTCGCTGACCTCCGCCTACCAGACGGTGGTGCGCGACGCCACGCTACCCGCCCAGATGTTCGCCGATGACGACCTGGCCGCCGACCAGCTGTCGGAGGTGCAGCAGCAGCTGACCCAGGTGCTGGACCAGCTGGCGGACGACTCAAGTCAGATGGCCGACATGTCGCAGCAGATGGCTCACATGTCGGAGCAGATGGCGGCCGGCGCCGGCGAGGAAGCCGGCCTGCCGCAGCAGCGGGTCACGCCCGATCCGCTGGCGGCGGCCGACGACCAGGTGGCATCCGCCGACGAGTCCCTCCAGCAGCAGGAGGGCGCACAGGTGGCGGCAGAGGGCGCCGAGCTGGCAGTGTCGGCCTCGCCCGCCGTGACTGAGGAGGTCGCCGAGATGGGCGAGATGCCCGAGATGCCGGCCGAGGTGACAGAAGTGGCCAGCGAAGCGGCGGAGCCGGCGGACGAGATGGCCCACGAGCTGGCGGACGAGATGGCTGATGAGCCGGTGGACGAGATGGCCGACGAGCCGGCAGAGGTAACCGAGGCTTCGGGCCAGGTGACAGAGGTGTCGGGCCAGGTGACAGAGGCAGGCGACGAGATGGCCGAGGTGTCCGGCGAGGTGGTGGTGGAGGAGCCGTACCAGGAGGCCGAGATGGCCGAGGCGGCCGGCGAGGCGGCGCAAGTGACCGATGTAACCGAGCTGCCGGCGGAGCAGGTGGAGTCCCTGGTCGACGACGTGGAGCCGCTGGTGGAGCTGCCCGACCAGCTACTGGCGCCGGCCGCCGGACCCTCGGGCGCGCCGGCGCCAGCCGAGGACGAGCCCATGGAGCTGGGCGAGGAGGTGCTGGAGCTGACCGGGGACGAGGTGCTGGAGGAGGACGAGGTCGTCTCTGCCGCGGAGCCGGCCGACTGAGCACGGTCACCGGCCACCTGTCGCCGCCCGACCGCGCTCGGACCGGTGCACCCGGTTGGGGGCGAGGGCCGGCGACGGCGGCCATGTCGCTCCTGTTATCAGCCCGGAGCCGTGACTGCTGACGTGACGGGCTCACCCGCGAGCCACCTGCCGCAGGCCGTGTGCTGGTGTCTGCACAGCGGCCGGCACCCCTCCTCTTCATCGTCATGATCACGCGCTGGCGGCTGCGCTCGGCCGCTCCGAGCTGTCGCCTCAGCGCCGTCGGCAAGCGTGTGTGGCACCTCTGGTGATTTGGCGGTAAGCGCGAATCGACAAGAGCACTCCATCTGTATGAAAACCGGCATAGTTCATTCGGTTCACAAATATATCATCACAGTACATTCTTCTGTGAATTATAATCACATCATCACAATGCGCATGTTCTGGTCGTCTCAAGTGAGCAGAGCTGGCGCGGCAGAGACGGACCGAGGCTGGAGCACGTGTCTGGTGACGCCGATTCGGTGGATCGTCTTACAGTGATCACGCACCCGCGGCTACCGCCAACAAATACAGCCGTGGTAGACTTCAGGGACCGACCAGGCACTGCCACAAGGCCAGGTCAGATCATCATGCCTCGGATCTCCCCACACCCCCACGGTCCAAGAAGCACTACACCCGGCATATAAAATCCATCTGACGTCAGCCATGTCGAGCCATTGCTGCAGATTGGTCGGCGCTCTGCCAGCCCGCTGTCCGCCCCGTCAGGGCCGCCCCGCCACGTCACCGGCGCAGGCGACTCCAAAAGCCCATCTCGAAAGGGACTCGCCGTCAGCTCAGGCGGCAACGCTGTCCGGCGGTTGGCGCACGAGCTGTACGATGGCCAGACACCGCAGAGCATCAGACTCCGGAAAGGGCGGCGAGTCAGGCGCCAGAGAGGGCGGCGCGTCAGACCCCGCGGTGGCGGTGCGTCAGAACCCGCGGTGGCGGCGCGTCAGACCCTGCAATAGGTGACGCGTCAGACCACGGAGAGGGCGGTACGCCGCTGCAGCACCTCCAGCGCCTCTGGTCCTGTGAGGCCGTGCGCGCCGGCCTCGGCCAGCGCCAGCGAGGCCGTGTCGGGCGCGCTGCGCAGCGTCTCACGCAGCAGCAGGGCCGAGCCGGTCGGCAGCGTCAGCAGGCAGCAGGCGGCCAGCAGCGGCTCGAACAGCCGTTCCGGCTGCGCCGTTAGCTCGCCGAACAGGGCCACCAGGTTCTGACTCAGATCGAAGCGCAGCTGGGTGGCGCCGCCCTCGTTGAACTCGTTGGCCATGACCAGCTCGTCGTAGAGAAAGTCGTTGAGTTGGCGCGCTAATCTCATCCAGACGTCAGCGAACACGGAGACGGCCAGCAGGCCCTTCAGCTGATGCAGACACTGCGTTAGCACCTGCCGCAGACGCGCAGCGTGTGTCAGTGCTGCCGACGGGGAACGCTGGGAGGCTGAGACAAGGTCCCGGTATAGCAAATGTCGGGGTGCAAAAGGGCGCCCAAAGTGATTTCCACTCCCGTGGCACAACTACAGGATCGACGACGTCATGCTGCGAAAATACGTAGCAGACAAAAATTGTCCCACGTAGGAGGTGCATTACGCATAACACCCGGCCTGAAAGACAAACACAGGCACATGGCGTGGGCCCGACCCACCTGCATCATGGGGCAGGCGGTGGGGCTCAGACTGGGCGACACGAACTCGCCGGGCAGCGGCATCGAGAACCAGGCATCCTTGCGGTATGGCCGGCTGCGGGCGCGCACCTCCAGCAGCATCTGGCCGAGGAGCGGGCACGGTCAGGAGCCCAGCATGGTCCTCACACTGGCCGAGGAGCGGGTACGGTCAGGAGCCCAGCGTGCTCCTCACACTGGCCGAGGACCGGGCACGGTCAGGAGCCCAGCATGGTCCTCACGCTGGCCGAGGACCGGGCACGGTCAGGAGCCCAGCATGGTCCTCACACTGGCCGAGAATGGAGCACGGTCAGGAGCCCCGCATGGTCCTCACACTGGCCGAGGATCGGCCACGGTCAGGAGCCCAGCATGCTCCTCACACTGGCCGAGGACCGGGCACGAACAGGAGCCCCGCATGCTCCTCACACTGGTCGAGAACCGGACACGATCAGGAGCCCAGCATGCTCCTCACACTGGCCGAGGACCGGGCACGATCAGGAGCCCCGCATTGTCCTCACACTGGCCGAGGATGGAGCACGGTCAGGAGCCTCGCATGCTCCTCACACTGGCCGAGAACCGGACACGATCAGGAGCCCAGCACGCTCCTCACACTGGCCGAGGACCGGCCACGGTCAGGAGCCCAGCATGCTCCTCACACTGGCCGAGGACCGGGCACGATCAGGAGCCCCGTATGCTTCTCACACTGGTCGAGAACCGGACACGATCAGGAGCCCAGCATGCTCCTCACACTGGCCGAGGACCGGGCACGATCAGGAGCCCCGCATGTTCCTCACATTGGCCGAGATGGAGCACAGTCAGGAGCCCCGCATGCTCCTCACACTGGCCGGGTACCGGACATGACCAGGAGCCGTGTATGCTCCTCACACTGGCCGAGGACCTGGTACGATCAATAGCCCCGCATGTTCCTCACATTGGCCGAAATGGAGCACAGTCAGGAGCCCCGCATGCTCCTCACACCGGCCGAGAGCTGGGTACGATCAGGACCCGCGCATACTCCTCACTCCCGGGCACAGGAACGCAGTGGATCCTGACAGCACGGCGTTTTGTAACTTTAGTGAGTTTAGATTTTTTGACAGATCTCGCCTTCACGTTGAGCAGGGCTTTGGCGGGGCGGTGATAAGACAAGCGCCAAGGGACCGATGATCCGCCAAACAGATACAAGGGTCCGCCACGACTGGCAGTCCAGCACGCTCCGTTTTCAACCCCATCGCCTTAACCTACCAACTATAACTCGGGGAGGGTGATCAACGGATACGTCAACATGAATATCATACAAACAGGCGCACACGCGTGTCTGGCTGCCTCTGGAAGGACCATCAGCATGCTCATCGAATCCCGCCTAACCCCAGCTCACTTTCTCCACCAGCGTTCCAATCAGCGGTCGTGGCGAGCGGTGGCGCGCGTGCCAGCTAGCCTCCGCCCGACCCGCTCACCTGGTCCACCAGCAGCTGCACGATGTCGTCCTCGATCCTCTGGAACAGCTGGACCGCCGTGTCGAAGGCGGTCGTGTCGAGCCCGTCCAGCTGGTCGTCGGGCCGGGTCGGCTTGGCCGGCGCCGCCAGCACGACGTCGAGTGTGAGCGGCGTGGCCGACGGCTGGCGCTCGGCGGCCGCCGCCCGCCGCTCGGCCGCCTCCAGCCGGCGCTGCAGGAACTGCAGGTGCAGGAAGGCTGGCTGCTCGCCCCACTCGGCCAGCGCCTGGCGCAGATGGTGCGCCGTGTTGAGCAGCGCACAGCAGCGGCCGCTGGCGACACAGCAGAGGCAGACGTCAGTTACAGCGGCGGCCACCAACGGAACAGCAGAGGCAGCTGTGGAGTCTCAGTGGCCGCCGTCAGAACAACGGATGCCGGTGACACAGCCCAGTCGACGCCAGCCTCAATGGATGGATCCGGGCGTGTTCATGGCCTGACCTGATCGGCTGATGTTTCTCGTTCCTCAGCAGCTGCAACAGCCGGACACGTAGGTCGTCCAGCAGCTCAAGCTGCAGGTCCAGGAACTGCAGTCGCTGGCCCGGCTGGGGTAGCTGTCGGTATCGCTCCGTCATGGCCTGCAGCATCGTCAACATGCCGTCCGCCACCTGGCGGCAGGCGCGAACAGAGCCAATCAGTGCGTGACACGGAGGCGGGGCGGAAACACATGCACACAAGCACGCGTACACACAGTACCGTCCCACGGCGGCCGGGAGGGGCACACAGCTACAGTCAGCAGTATCAAACAACACTGGTCAGCAGCAGCACACAGCTCCAGTCAGCAGCAGCACGCGGCGCCGGTCAGCAACAGCACAGCACTGGTCACCAGCGTCACACGCAGGCGGGGAATAGACACGCGGGGGACGGATACACACAGGGGCGCGGTCCTGCAGCTACCACCCGTCCGCACCCCAGAATACCCATGCCAGCTGCGCGTGATGCCGTCGTCGGCCGCCCGGCCTCCACCAGCGGCGCTCACCTCCGTCACGCCGGCGTCCGGGTCGCCCTGCACAGCCCAGGCCGTCTCGGAGGCCAGCAGCTGGTCCATGCGCTCCAGCGCGTACTTGCGCTCCATGCCGAGCCAGCGCTGCAGGCAGGCCGGCTGGCAGAGGGCCACCAGTGGGCCCGGCTGCTCGGGCGCGCCGCCGTAGCCGAGCAGCGCCAGCTGCCGCTGCAGCAGCAGCGCCTCGTCGATCGTGTGCGAGAGCGTGGCGTCGTCGTACTGCAGCTCGGGCAGGTCCCGCAGCAGCTTGTCCACGGCCAGCTCCACCAAGCCGCGGCAGAACTCCAGACGGGGCCGACATGACGGTAGCACCTGGTGGCGAGCCCGTGTCACGTAACCGATGCCCGCATAACCAGGCTCAACAAACCTCAAGGCTTAGTTCACGCCACCGCCCCAACCCACCCATTTAAAACTTTTTCTTGAATCTTAAGCAATGTAACACGTGCGCTCTGTTCGGCAGAACCGACCTTAGCCAGCGTCGGCTCGACGGACGACTCCAGGAACTGTTCGTGGTCGGTGATCCACTGCAGCACTTGGCCCATGTACCACTCGGGCTTGGCCGGGTTGTTGGTGCGCTTGTCGCCGTGGAAGTGGAAGACGAAGCGGCGCACGAGCGGCCGCAGCAGCAGCCGCACGGGTAGGCTGGCCAGCGGGAAGACGGCGAGCGCGGCGCAGCGCGCCGGCTGGGGCTCCTCGCCGCAGTCGGCCAGCGCCGCCAGCCGCACCAGCGCCGTCTGCAGGCGGACGGCCGCGTCGGCCGCCGGCGCCGCCGCGTGCACGCTCGTGTTGGTGCTGATGAACGGGTAACGCAGCTCGGCGAGCGCGGCGTCGAGCGCAGCCGTCAGCTGGCGCAGCAGCTGAGCGCGCCAGGCCGACACCAACCCGCGGCAGTACTCGGCTAGCGCGTGACAGCGCGAGTCAGACACCACGTCCGCCGTGCGCGCGTGCAGCTGCTGCAGACGCGAGAGCGCCTCGTCCACCTGGCCGAGTGCCAGCTGCTCTCGCAGCGCGTCGCTGAGCTGTGTCAGCTGCTGCAGGAAGGCACGGTATGTGCGCTCCTTCAGCCGATTCTCCTCCACCTCTAGCGTTGGTGACAGGTGGTCGCAGAGCTTGCGGTTCAACTCGACGAAACTATCGCAGTCCTTCAGCAGCGGCTCGATGGTGCAGCTCAGAGCTTCGATCTGGGTGGTGGCTGACTGAGCGCGTCCCAGCAGTTTGGACAGGCCGGAGTCAGAGCCCTCATTGTTGATGGCCAGCTCCTTTTCCAGCTCATCTTTCCTCTTCTGAAGCCTTTCTTTTACAGACTGGACCTGGTCAAAGCCATCTCCTTTGCCATCCAACATGGAATTCAGTTTTTTGAACAATGCAGCACCATGTCTAGTGCTTTCCATTTTGTTCAGTTGCTAACTTTCATTTCAACTCCTGAAAAATGTAAGCAGGCTGTTGATGGCATTTGCACATGACAACCATAAAACGACCACCCTTTCTGCCACATAGCATCCTTGTATGCAGTATGATGTAACAGCTTCTACTTGTTTGTCAACTTTACAGTGTATGGCACAAATATTGTAATTGGCACTGCACACTGTAAAATTGACAAACAAGTAGAAGTTACTACTTCAATAATAATTCATATAACAACTTGCTTTTAGTATAAACAACTTGTTATCAAAGCACCCCAGCCAACATGATTAACCACAATCAATGCAGCATTCTACACCACATACAGGGGTTGCGAAGTCTTTATCATCCTGAACTTATTAACAGACATTTTCACACCACTCTAACCATTGCTCCTGTATATATTGACAGTGCAGAGTGCTTAGTAATGCATGTACACAACATTTTGACTGTATGTATACCGATCATGATCTACAAGCTTTCAGAGATCTATGTTTAAAATGAGAACCTTAAAACTAAAAAAAAAACACTGCCCACCCCGCCCAGACTAGACCTGAGGGAAATGCAGACTTGGGTGCAGAGGTTTTGGGTCACAGATTTAACGTGAGCGGAGACGTGTACATCACACCGGCTCACTGCGCGGGTTCTTTTCAACGAGTGAAGACAAATTCTTCAAAAAAGATGATGGATCTTCCAGCGAATGTGCAATGGCTAAGTTAAACTGAATACAGCTGCGTGCAATTCGCTGTTTGTAACGCTTTATTGCCTTGGTTTGCAGTACAGGAGTGCGCCGCGGTGCTCACACATTTACTGTTGACGTCCGCACCTCGCTGCGCGAGAAAATTATGATAGGTTATTTTTTGCCAAGTAATCGATACTGCAATCTGGATAAATCGCATGCTAGTTTTTCAACTATCATTTGGCAAATAAAATTCATGTACCGCTACTCACACATGATTCACGCCCATGTTAGTCGAAAGATTATGTGAAGCTGGCCTAGAGGTCTCAGGGAAATAACTTTACTGATATGGATGCTCTTCAAGCTCCATATTTGGCGCATCTTCTACATAAAATATCTCCCTTTCTCGAGAATAACGTAAGTTAAAATCGCTTCAGAGAAATCACGCAACGTACATGAGGAGTCGCCTTGCTTGGCTGGGCGCGGTGGGGGCAAAGTAAGGCCGATGATAAAGGAGTTGAGTGAATTCGGACTGATGTACGTGTTTGGCCACTGTGACCGTGATTACTGATCATTTGAGGGCTGCAATCATAGTGAGTGAGTGAGTGAGAAGTTGCTTGCCAGGAAGTTTGCAGACAGTGTATGTGCCTACGTTGTGCAGTTCGTTTTGTGCCGTTATCTGACGTCATTGCCAAGATCTGACATAAACCCAAATATTGGTGTTTCTATGGTTGCTGTTTTACAGCACATGGCCGGAAGACCTTCCTGTACAATCAATCATTCATTCGTCATCAGTGCTGGGGGCCAAAGTGGACTTGTGCACCTCATTTTGCATCACACTTTATACATAAATCACCTGTAAGGCAGGAAACACCATAATCAACCATGAAACATTTGCATCTTATCCAATGGATGCAATTCTTGAAACCTGATGCAGTTTGAAAATATGATATAGTGAGACTTTTGCATACAGGTCATTGATTGGTTGACATAGCAGTTAAAGATGATGCCTTGGATTGATAAGAATATTATCTTTGTTTAAGCTGTCTAGTGTCAGTATTGTGTGTAAGTAAGTTTTAACCTAACCAGACTTAACTAATGTAGCCTAACTTTGCCCAATATTATCTGATACCCAGCCCAACCTTTCCTTATGCTTAACCCAACCTTATCATGTACCTAACCCACCCCTACTCCTACTCCTATCCCTACTTCTAGGATTGTCCATCAGTGTTAAAGAGCAACTTCTGCCATAATTGTGATCTATGTATTTTGAAGGTGAGATGATAAGATATCCAGAGTTCTCCCTGTTTTGTGTATATTTATGGTATTTCATATTATAGAAATATCATTTAATATGCCATGTGTTCTTGCAGTATGAGGTGCCAATTTGATGACGAAGTTCTTCTGTCTTGATAGTAAGCTTTATGATGCAGCACTAGCTGGCTAATACTGAGACTTTCAATATTAACCATTTTATATTCATCCCTTTAAGTATACATATCACTCAACCTGTTACAGATTATCTGTGGACGTGAACATCCATGCATCTTCAAGAAATGCATGATGAAGAAGAAGCAGTTCATCATACTAATGATTTTCCTGTTCTCTCTGCTGGTTGTTCTGCAGATAATTCATTCTGTATTATTGCAGTATTTAGAAGATTTTGAAATGAATATTTATGAAGAACCACTTGCATCTGATAATCAGGATCACAATGGATTTGACATGGTAGGTACCAACTATACTGATAATCATATTTTCTGCAATATGCCAGCCTGGCAAAGAAATACCCATCAGGGTCAGGGCAGGTGTGATATAGACCTGGGTATTATGATAGTGCACATCTTTCCATTTTTTTTTACCCTTCAACAGCTGTTGAATTGCAGAGAAGCTCACACTCATGTATGCCAGCAACACCTGTTTTTACTCTTGTTACTTGTGTTTGAAACAGCAATGCAGTTTTGGAACATCTCTCTGAAGGGGGTGTAGAGGGATGAACACAAGGTGTTCTGAAATATAATCCTGTCATTTTTGATATTTATCAGAAGTCTTTGGCAGGAGCCCATCCAGGACATTCTGAAGGAGTCACCTACTTTTCTGTATCTGCACTATAAGGCCAAAATGTTCCATGATCCTGACATTTTGTCAGGACCTGCATGTGCCCTCTTTGCAGGAAGTTTATGACATGAACCTTTGCAATGGTCTGCTTGTTGCTTTCTGTAGGGCAGACTGTTCTGCAAGTTCTCATTTGGTAGGAAGGGCAGAGATAGTGGTTGGGGACTAAAGCCCCCCAGCGAGATACAAATCTCCATCTCTGCTAGACAGATGCAGGGAAAATGAATGGCAATGTCACTGCACCTTTCTGATCAGTCAATCATTTGTATTTGTCTGTATCTGCTTGTCTGTGATAAGTTGATGCTCATCTGGCTCGCCATTTCAGCATGAACTCTTCAGCTGATCCATTTTATGTTCAGTTAAGAAACAAGTCAGTGACCTGTTAAGCACATGAGCTGGGCATAGTAACAAGCAAAGGTCCCACATTCTGAATGGTATGCTTGCATTGCACATTGATGCCTGTTGTCTGTGTTTTCTAGGAGCCTGGATCGCTGCTTTCTCACATGTCAGAAGCTGTCAAATCCAACTCATCACCAGATGACTCTGGGGAATACCAGATTGTTGAGAATGTTTTATACTCTGCTGAAGGAACTGACAGAGATGTGACTCTAGCAGTTCATGCCTCTGTGGAAAGCCTGAGCACTCTTCCAAGAACCATTCATCAATGGGAGGTATGAACTGGCTGAATGTGGCAGTCTGTGATACCTGGAAATACTTGTCTGTTCTGATGGATGGTGTTGCATGACACTTTGTTGCCCTTTCAGAACTATGTTGCTTAATAGAAGTGTTTGTTGAGCTATGCTGCATTATGGTTGCCTTGATAGTTGGCACAGAGTGTTCTAATACCACCAGTGCACAACAGTGTACTGCAAAAGTAATGGTTTACAGTGTAGATGCGGTAATGCGGTTGTAAGCATAGTGATATCACAATGCATTAAGTAACCACACAAAGCATTGAACTAAGTGTATATGAAAAGCAAATGATGGGTTAGGAAATCAGATGAGAAAGTTAAAAGCATTTCTTTTTTGATACCACAGGCACCCTTGATCTTATGGTTAAGGCGTCAGTGTATCTTCATTTGATGGTCTTGTGTTTTTAGATCTAGTCTGAACGTTTTGATTGCATGGATTTCTTGCATCAAGGTTCACGTTTGGCAGAGCTCATTAGGTGAGCACTTCCCACCTACCGACTTTTCGAACTGTCTGTCCGGCCGTGAAATTCCAGGTTATTGGCAGAGTTGTGGGGTGAAAGTGTGAGTCATATATATATATATATATATATATATATATATATATATATATATATATCATACCATATATATTCTGTCATGACATGCTTCAGGTCTATTTGAATTTGCTTTCGTCCCGACAACCCATTCTTTCCATGTCCTGACATAAACCTTATGCTAAGTCAGTCTAGAGTAATGATTTTGGGTGTATGCTGTTTGCAATGCTGTGGTACTGTTTCGATGCTTCCTGACCTTGCAGCCATGCTCCAAGATTTTGCTGGTGTATCTAAAATGAACTAACGATATGAGAGGTCTATTTCTGATCATGCTGTGATTCCCGTGCTGCTAAATACGTATATGCAAAATTTATCCCGTTTTGAGCTTATTGCTGTGTCTTCGAATTGCATGAAATGCGCGTCTGAACCCAAGTTAAAGGTGTAGAGTTAAGTTGAACAAATTGAAAAAGTAATGTTAGGCACCGAAATAGAGTTGAATTCGTATGCCGTAAAGGTGGGACACTTCCCTTAATACCCTTCGATATTTATCAGGACCGACGCGTTATTGGCTGTCTAACGGGGTTACCATATTTCACTTCCCATTCACACTTGGTATCATATACGTATGGTTTTCTCGCGGCACATTGTAAACCACTCGTGCTAGCCATCGCTGGCTATCACGGTCTACTTTTTGCACCCGCTGACTGCCCTGTCTCAATAGCCTCAGTTGTGCTCCCTGGGGGACCTGACAGCCGTGTCCAGGGGTGTGACGTGCTGCGGTGTGGGCAGGGTTCGTCTCACTGTCGGCTATCGTGTGCCGTGTCCAGGGGTGTGACGTGCTGCGGTGTGGGCAGGGTTCGTCTCACTGTCGGCTATCGTGTGCCGTGTCCAGGGGTGTGACGTGCTGCGGTGTGGGCAGGGTTCGTCTCACTGTCGGCTATCGTGTGCCGTGTCCAGGGATGTGACGTGCTGTGGTGTGGGCAGTGTTCGTCTCACTGTCGGCTATCGTGTGCCGTGTCCAGGGGTGTGACGTGCTGCGGTGTGGGCAGGGTTCGTCTCACTGTCGGCTATCGTGTGCCGTGTCCAGGGGTGTGACGTGCTGCGGTGTGGGCAGTGTTCGTCTCACTGTCGGCTATCGTGTGCCGTGTCCAGGGGTGTGACGTGCTGCGGCGTTGTTGCGGCAGGGTCCTGTCCCGTCGTCGACTCTCGTGTCCAGGGGTGTGACGTGCTGCGGCGTTGTTGCGGCAGGGTCCCGTCTCGCCGTCGACTCTCGTGTCCAGGGGTGTGACGTGCTGCGGTGTGGCCGCGACAGGGTCCCGTCTCGCTGGCCGTGTTGGTGACGGCCGAGCTGGCGGACGAGGCGGCGCTCCGCCTGCTGGCACTGCGGCTGTGTGTGGCCGGGCCGCTGGCGCTGCACCTGGTGGTGTCGGTCGGCTTGCAGCTGCGCTGGCCGGCCCGGCCGCCCGGCCGCGGCGCCCTCTGCCGCCGGCTCGACTCGCCACCGCCGGCCCGCTCCTACCAGCTCTCCGTACCCTACCCCAACAATCTGCTGCGCAACGTGGCGCGGCGCGCGGCGCGCTCCCAGTTCGTGCTCTCGCTGGACGCCGATATGGTGCCAAGCGATGGGCTGCGGCGGCAGTTCATGGCGCTGGCGGACGCTGCGCGCTTGTGGGAGGCGCCAGAGCCGCGCACCGCGTATGTGCTGCCGTTGTACGAGGTGGGCGCCGCCGTGGCGCCGCCGCGCGACAAGACGACGCTGCTGGAGCTGCGCCGACGCTGGCCGGGCCTGCTGCGGCCCTTCTACGCCACGGCCTGCGCCAAGTGCCAGGCGCCGACCGACTACGCGCGCTGGGAGGCGGCGCCGGCCGCCGGCCGCCTGGCGCCTCTGTACGACGTGGCCTGGGCGGATCCCTGGGAGCCGGTGTACGTGCTGCACCGCGACGCGCCCCTCTACGACACCCGCTTCAGACAGTTCGGGTTCAACCGGATCAGTCACGCGTGCGAGCTCCACGTGGCCGGCTTCAGCTTCCGCGTGCTGGGCGACGGCTTCGTGCTGCACCTTGGCCTCAAAGGCGAGGATCCTCCGCGGCCGGGCCAGCAGGAGGAGCAGGACCGCAACCGGCTGCTGTTCAGACAGTTCAAGCAGGAGCTGAAGGTCAAGTACCCGGCCTCGTCGCGCCGATGCTAGTCAACGGGCGGCCGCCGCGCCAAGTCATTGCGGCTGTGCCGTCTAGCAGTACCCGTGCCATAATGGGTATTGTCGTGCGTGCCTTTTATGCGTGTAATGAAATGAATACATGTTTCGTACTCTTAAGGTCATCTTTTCGAGTTTTTCTATCTTGTTCGGTGTCTAGGTGGTGCGCTATACCGGGACGTTTGGTGGTGCGTACAATATCCTCACATCAATGGCGAGGTCATCCGTCCCTCAATGACAATGATCATCCATCATCCAATTTTACGCAAGGGGTAAACAATAAAATTGATCTGCACTTTAAAATGCAGATCAAATGTCATGCACTATTGAGAGTTGTGGTATGGAATAAGTACAAACGATTATGATGGGAACACCAGGGAGAGGAGGGAGAGCGAGTGTTAAGAGAGGGCGGGGGGAGAGGGGAGAAACAAACAGGGAACAAGAAATGCCGGGGCAGGAGTGATGGACACAGCTAGCGTGCCATCGGGCGGGCGGAAACACCACGGGTGGCGTTGTTCGTCTGTGTGCGACAGGAACGTTCTTGTCCAAAATCCCCGTCACTTTCAAGCTTCTCTGCTGTTATCACTGATCAGCATATCGACTCTCGCGGTAAGAGTCGTCACCCGTTCGTGTTTAGGCGTTGGTGGGCAGCTGAACAGCTGCGTTGTTATCGGGCACTGTGTACGCCGCTCGCGCGGAACAGCGCCGGCATCTGTTCTGTGCCGCGGGGGAACACGCACCGCTCGGTGGTGAACGCCAGGCACGCTGCGTCAGTCAGCCGACGAGCGCGGTGAAAGCTTGTCCACACACTCCGGGCGAAATGCCGGGGTGCCGGCAGCGTAATGATAACGCGTCTGTGCTAACCACTGCGCGTCTGGGAAACCAGAGGTGCGAGGTTCGATTTTCCGCGGTGCTCGCACTTCCCGCCAGGGTGAGAGGCAGGCGACGCAATATAGCCCAGTGCGTGCGTGCAATATAGCCCAGTTAGCTGAGTGCGTCGTAAAGCCCCAGTCACACAGGCGAAATACTGTATCCGCAAATTGTCGCGTGGACACCTGGGGTGAGAGAGGCGCTAGTTCCCAACGCCGGCCGAAACCAGTAACCCCCCTCCCCCCCCCCCCCTCCGCGGGACACTTCACAACCAGCGGAACGGTCGGTTTTCCGGGCAGTGCAACCAGTCATTCCCCACCGCCTGAACCCGGCACCACGACATGCGACTCGGGCCACACGCCAGGTCCCACTCGTGAGGACTACGCCGGAGTCGCGTCTTTTTGTATAGAAAATGCTTGCCGTCCAACCCTCCGCTGGTTGATCCGTTCACGCGGAACAGGTGGCGGGGCGAGTTATATTAGTCCCACAAAAAAACAAAATGAATGGTCGCCTGCGCAGATGTTCGCGTCTCCGTCCAAAAATAGGGTTATCTCTCCAGCGAGACGTGCCTGGGTTGTCATGACTCCAATATGCAAGCAAGAGCCTCCAATCGAAGCACCATATATTTCACTATAAATATCTTGCAGGCGCACGGGGTCGAGGCGGCCCGGCCCCGGCCGCCGCTGAGCCTGGCAGCGGCTGGGGCCTCCGGGCCGGCGGCGGGCGGCCTGGCGCCGCTGTCCGGACCGGCGCGCGGGGGCGCAGGCTGGCGGCCCACGTGCTCTATCACAGATGGGGCCGGCGGCTCAGCCGGCCGTCTCGTCACACCACCGTACTGCTGTCGCCGCGGGCGGTCACCGGGCTAGGCGCCGCACAGCCGCCCTGTCGACACACGGCCGACACGGTCACAGTGCTGCCCTGTCGACACGGTCACAGAGCTGCCCTGTCGACACACGGCCGACACGGTCACAGAGCTGCCCTGCCGACACACGGCCGACACGGTCACAGTGCTGCCGTGCCGACACGGTCACAGTGCTGCCCTGCCCACACATGATCGACACGATCACAGAGCTGCCCTGCCGACACACGGCCGACACGGTCACAGAGCTGCCCTACCGACAAACGGCCGACACGATCACAGTGCTGCCCTGTCGACACATGGCCGACACGGTCACAGTATTCCCCTGCTGACACACGGCCGACACGGTCACAGTGCTGCCCTGCCGACACACGGCCGACACAGTCACAGCGCTGCCGTGCCGACACGGTCACAGAGCTGCCCTGCCGACACATGACCGACACGGTCACAGTGTTGCCTTGTCGACACACGGCCGACACAGTCACAGTGCTGCCGTGCCGACACGGTCACAGTGCTGCCTTGCCGACAAACGGCCGACACGGACACAGAGCTGCCCTGCCGACACACAGCCGACACAGTCACAGTGCTGCCCTGCCAACACGGTCACAGTGCTGCCTTGCCGACACACGGCCGACACGGTCAGTGCTGCCCTGCCGACACACGGCCGACACGGTCCAGTGCTGCCCTGCCGACACACGGCCGACACGGTCACAGTGCTGCCCTGCCGACACATGGTATAGCCGTTTCCGCTGTCCCCTGACCCCACAGGCTACGGTGGCAGCCTGTCTGTACGACACATCCAGATACAGCCACAGCTGCCCTTACAGCGCATGGGAGACACGGTCACAGAAGCTGCCCTGAATATATGGGGGCTGTGGGTATGTTTATAATGTACCCGTGGAAACGTCTTTAGCCTGAGACATTGCAATCTTGAGGGCGCCGCTAGAATAATGCTGTCCATGCAATACACGACCGCAAAGGCCCTTAGAACATGTCGTTATCATGCCGTTAGACACGTCGGCGTTCAGTTACTTCTCACCGCAGGACACACATGCAGAACAGCTGTGAGCACGTCTTCAGAGAATCAGGGCACCATGGTGAGGCAAACTCACGCCTGAGCGCAAGGCACAGTGGCTCACAGCACATGGCAGCCTACTACACGGCGTCCCGATGTTCACTGTGCACCAGGGATCCGGATCAGAAACTTCACGAGAATATGTCAGACGCAAAAATAAAACGAAGTCATCATTGCTGGGAGCACATCAAGTCCATTTCCTACTCTGTTTAACTAAGCAATCCCAAAAAGCGTCACCATGGAGAGTGGGTGGAACAATATTCTGTAAAAGCGTGATGCATTGGCCAAGCCATTCATTTCTGGACATTTAACAAATGGGGGCGGGGAACGGGCGACATTGCATCCATTCTGAGGCCGCAAGGGAGCGCGAGACACGGTTCACAGCTGCTCTTGTACCACAAGGAAGTCGAATATTTGTCTTCGCTCGGCAGCCCTGCGGACACCAAAAGGAAGCTGTGCGAAGACGTTCTACGTGACATCTGGTCGGGCCGGGCGATGTGCCCAGTGCGGCGGGGTACGTACGGTAACAGTGCCGGGCCGGGCCCACGTGCAGACGTAGCCGTCGCAGCAGGCCGTCACCAGACAGTCGCGCCGGAAGGTGAGCGCCGTCAGCCGCTCGTGCGAGACGCGGCAGCTGACGTGCGGCTCCAGGATCGGACAGTCGGCCAGCCGCGGACAGCCGGGCGTGCCGATCAGGCGCTCGCGCTCGCGGCGCGCGCTGCCGCCGGCGCTAGCGCGCTCGGCCGTCTTCTCGGCCCGGTGTCCGCCGAGCAGCAGGCCCAGCCGGCGGGCCGGCTCGCGGCGCTGCTCGGCGCCCAGACCCAGCGACGAGAGGCGCGCCGACAGCGAGCCGGAGCCGGAGCCGGAGCCGGAGCCGGAGCCGGTGCCGGAACCGGAGCCTGAGCCCGAGCCGGAGCCCGAGCCGGCGGCAGACTCGGCCACGCCGTCGCCGGGCGGCAGCGGCTCGCCGGCGCGGGCGCGGCCGAACGGCCGGCGCAGCACCTCGTCCGTCAGGTCCCACAGGCAGAGCTGCGTGTCCTGGCCCACTGAGCCAATCCGGTAGGAGACGATCGGCGGTACCGCCGTCGCCGAGCCGCCGCTGCCGCTGCCGCCGCCGCCCTCGTCCGAGCAGTAGCCGTTGCCGTTGGCGGCCGGCTCGCCGCCGCCGTCCACCACGGTCGTGTACGGGTCGAACGCCACGTCGGCCACCCAGGAGCGGTGGCCGCGGCCGCGCGCCACCACGCGCCGCTCGGCCAGGCTCCAGACGGTGAGCAGGTCGTCCTCGCCGCCGGCCGCCACGTACCGGCCGTCCGGCGACCACGCCACGCACGTCAGCGCGCCGAAGTAGCTGCGCGCCACGCCGGCCAGCTCCATGCTGTCGTAGCGGAAGACGCGCAGGCACCCGTCCTGCGAGACCGTGGCCAGGTGGCGGCCACACGGCGAGAATGCGAACCGGTTGACGGCGCCCTCGCCGACGGCCCAGCGGTACAGCGGGTTGCGCGTGCTGCGCGCCTTGCACGTGTACACGGTGAAGCCGTCGCCCTGCTTGAACGTCTGGTAGGTGGGCGCGGCCGGACCGCACGGCAGTCGCTCCGAGTACAGGTACAGCTGGCCGCTGGCGTGCGACGCGAGGAACTGGTGCGGTGTGTTGGGCAGCCACTTGACGCAGGTGACGCGCGTCTTCTCGATCAGTTGCTGCGGCACACGAGGTCACACCAGGTCAACACGCGCCGCCAACCCGTCACAGGCGGCAGGCGGGACACCGCTCGTGAATCAGATGACAACACAGCGGTGCACGTGAAACGTGAACGATTCCCACGGTGGCCTCGTAACAAGCCGGTGGTTCGTAACCTATTGGTAATCCCCAATTCGCCCTGGTGCTTCTCACTAGTTTGCATTGATTTCTCACTGAGATTATTTTCTGGAAAGTATTCGAGCGACATGACGCGGAAAGTAGTCATGCATAGTAAACGGCCCACACATGTCCAACGTCCTTGTACATATCACGGCCGAGCCCGATGAGCCCGACTCATTGCGGAACTACACCGTACAACGGTGCGCACCACTGTTACAGACTATGGCGGTCACATAGAGTCCCATCTGTGGCTGTCCACTACAAACGACTACCAACCACATGTCGAACTCGTCGCACCCTTAAGCGCACGATTGCCAGTCCGTTACGCAAAACCGCTATCCAATGAGCGCTACGCTACCATCACGCACCCAGTATCGTCCACGTCACTCCCGGCATGTCTACTCGTTGGCCTCTTCTGTCGACACCTATCGGCAGTTGGGCTGCCGTTCCAGTATCAGCCTAGACTGGCACCCCAGCAAGCCATGGCACGCCCTTCATGGCGTGCCCTGCCTAATTACGCGCTCGTATCGTGTTCTGTTCGCCCCAATCCATTGCTTGACACTACAACCGAAGCTAGACCCGATTTCGATACCGTCCCTGTCAGTGAGATTTACCACAGCAGCCAGGCACCGCACCCGTGTCGCAAACCTCGTGTTGTCCAGAGGCGTGGGTACAAGGCCCGGCGTGCGCGACTCCCTCCTCTCCTGGCCTCGCTTATCATCCGACCCCATAACCAGGTCGCAGGCCAGATGAAGGGCCTCGTTCTATCTTGCAATCCGCCGAATCAGAATTTGTGCACTGATCCAGACGCTCCTCTACCCCGTGACGGAAGTAGTCCAGTTCAAGCCTCGATAACATCCGAGTTTTGTAATAGCACGCGCCAAACTGACAGCACATGCGGCGCAACAATCGCCTTAGCAGTTCGTTTCGTCGTGAGATAGTCCATGTTCGATTGGTACAAACGACACTATCAATGTATGCCAAATTAAGCTCACTGTATCTGACATCGCCACACATCTTCGACACGTGCAAATGCCATTCCCACGTGCTGCCAAGGAAATGTCGCACCTAGTCCTCGGTGCCGGCAGCAGGTTCAGATACATCTCCTTACTGGAGCAAAGAGCACCAAAAGGTGCTTACCCCGTCCCGCCAGCCTGGTGAAAAGAAATAAGATGAAACCAAAAATTTCCGATAAAAAGTGCCGGCCCCGCAAGCACCACTGCAATGCGAAACACGCCCGGCGCAGCACACGTCGGCAGCTGCTCGCCACCTGTGATGACAGTGGCAGTAGCTCAGCCGCGTGCGGCGGCGGCGGCGGCGGCCGTCTCACCTCATCGTTGAAAATGCAGTGGGCGTCGTGTCGCGCCGAGTCGATGAGCTGCACCTGCCCGCCGGTGAAGCCCACCAGCAGCGAGACGGCGTCCGTCGCACCCGGCGCCACACCAAAGTCGTGACAGGTGGGGCTCGTGCTCTTGTACACCCGCTTGTCCACCGGTTTGGTTAGGTCCACCGCCTGCGGCAGCCGGCAGAAGCGTCAGCCGTGTGTGCCCGGAGATAGCGGGGCATTTGTGAGCTGTTCACATCTGATGTGACACCCAGGTAAAGGTAAATTTGTTTGGTTTTCAGCCACTTGCTTTTGTATTGTAATATGGAAAATGCCTTGTTTGTGTATGCAACACATCTGTCTATAAACTGATAAGGTATGTAGGAAAACTTAAAAGGTACAGATATGAGGGGTACATAGTCAGGCTTCTAATGTGCATGACATACACACTGCTAATGGTTAAGCACCTACAATTTGTTTTTACAATAGTGGAATGGCAAACCACTACATCTGCTATCAATTTTGGGGGCCTTGACCTCATAAGGAGAGGCAAACTACTCTTTTAATGATCAGTTAGTACTGAATGCCAATGCCAAACCATTTAACTGTATTGTGAGATCATGTTACTAAATACTGGGTGAAAACACCAAATTGTGAAGGGGGTTAAGGTCAGATATAAGGGATAGGTGATGTAGAAGGTTCCATAAAAATGGCATCAGTAACACCTTACATAATATTACCTTGCTATTCACAATATACATCAAAATCTGCCACATGTGAAATAGCACACTACATCACTACCAACCATAGCATGTGGTAAACATAATCACATGACATTGCTGATCTAGTTCAGAAAATGGATATAAATGGGAAATACATGGAGAAAAACTGGCTCAGAACACACCACAAAATCATCAAACTACTGTCAGGTCATGCTGCTACTTATCCCCAGGAAGGAATATGAAGATTAAATCACCAAGGTCCAAGAAAGTCCCCTCTGACATGTATTCACAATGAGTTGATAGCATAATCTACAAGAAAATAGCATGAATGAAATTATAGGATGCACAGAAATATTCACATAGTATAACATAATATCACAACACAGTGCAGATTATATCATACCCTATATGAGGAATTAACCACCATAATGAAGTTTGGGTCCAGTCAAATGCAAAGTGGAATATATTTGAAAGACTCACCTTTTGCACGCCCTTGTATATATAAACATACAGTTCTCTTCCATAGTTAAAGCATATCCTTTCATTGGAGCCACATGTATCCTCAACTGTCACAAATGACACCCTCACAGGAATATTGCCATGTCCTGCACTACTATATCCAACCCTATTTGGACGTGAATAATCTGAGTGTGCCATCAGCCTATAAGTTCCTTCTCGTGCAGAAAACTGTGTCTTTGGCTCATCCTTCACACCATTTTCCATGGAGTTAGCCATGATGCCACCACAGATATTGAACTTTCAGAATACAGCTCTTGTTCATTGCATACTCTCTTGGGTTCCCATATCTTTGTTACAATCTTGAAAGCACTTGCATCAAATGCAATAATTCAAGACAACTTGATGGGCTTAGCTCTATCTTGAGTTTTGGCAAAGGAAGACCACACAAATGACACCACTCATACTAAATGCATCAAAAACGGCATATACGCAAAAAAGCAGTAATGTGTTAGCTGCCAATGTTTGCATTAAGTAGTCAGCTCCTCTTTGATCCGACGGCAAAGTGACAACCAATAATTTGTGTATCTGTTACTCCTGGACAAAGGTGATGCACTTGCGACCACCCTGGAATGAATTATGGCGAATGCCCTTGCCATACAATGACGAATAAATTCTTCTATTCAGATCAGTGGACACATCATGCACTGCACCAAAGCCCGCATCCACAATCGTCCACCGACCCCGATCCTGAGCGTTTAAACACGAAATCCACACTCCAACACGCACGGATGTATGAGAGGCGCCACAATCTCAAAGCGTCGGGTTCACCGACATAGAAAAAAGAACTATTTTATTTACTATAAATAACTTTTGGTTCTTGCGTGTGCTATTTTTGGCGTAATTCCAATAAGAGTTATAAGATATAAGAATATTTTGTGATTTTAAATCAGAATTTAAGTTTTGTTTGATATCTGCACGCTGAGTTTGCAGAAAGTACCATAACATTTTCTTGAAGTCCCAAAATTTTTGTACACGATCTGCATTTTTTAAAATCGGGGCAGCAGCCCCGCTGAGTGCCGTCTGCTACCATTATTAATAACAGCGCGGACGGAGAAGATATTGTGTGGGTGGCGGTCGGCGTTGTGATTTACGGGGTGGTCGCTCCTATTCGAGGTTTCATGTCTGAAATGTGATGTTTTTCACTCAACGGGAAACTTTTTAGCGCCGGCACCAGTCAAGGAACTGCCAATGAAGATAATGCTTCTACACCTGTCCATACGAGAAAAATTTCACAAAATGGGTTGGGAGGGGACTGAACGGTGAAAAGTGACTCAACCTACCCCTTAAGATATGCCAGCCAACAGGTTACTCCCTAGATTGTTTTCCATTTACTCAAGTGGAGGAGAATCGGGGGGGGGGGGGGGTGGAGTGGGGCTGTAGCCAAGTGAGGGGCAGAAGCCCCTCCCAACTGAAAAGGAAACCACTGCTGCATACAAGCTGGCACAAAGACCATTGTGTTATTTGCAAGGCAGCACATGGCATGCTGGTGCCTACACTTTGGGTAGATGGGTGAGCTATCTTGGTGGTTACCAGTCAGAACCATTTTAGCAGGGATGCAGTGGTACAGCTTGGGTGTAGGTACATGCTTGTGGTTCGCAGTAAATATGGTTTATAGTTATAGTATGGTTTATATAGTATAGTTTGTAGTTATAGTTATGGTTTATAGTATGGTTCGCAGCTAATATGGTTTATATGGTAAATATGGTGATGGTAAATATGGTTTATGTTTAGTAAATATTTTTATGGTTCGCAGTTAGGTTATGGTTGTCCTGCCTCAAACATGACGAATGGTTTACTTTGGTCCCCTACATTTTGTACAGTTCTTGGTACGCAGAAATATTGTATTTACGCAACAGCAACGCGGAAACGGCGCTGGGGAGTCCAGGCGGTGCGGTGTGCGCGGCGCTCGGGGGCCCGCCATCGAAGTTATTGAAATTCGAAGGTAGGAGCATGATTCTACCTGTTTTGAGATTATTTACTATATGTCATGCCTTAAACACGACAAATGGTGTACAATGATTTTTTCTAACGTTAGGTAGGAAAGTACACCCTGACCCTTTGAATATACTAGAGTGAAGGCCAGGTTCACTTTGAATATACTAGAATGAAGGCCAGGTTCTCCATGTAGGTAGGTGGATGGTTAGCTGTCTGCTTGCCTGTCGGCCTACCTGGCTGTCTGCCTGTCTGCCTGCCTGCCTGACTGCCTGCCTGCCTGCCTATGTATCTTCCCACTTTCCTTTCAAAGTTTGGGCAAGGCTGGTAGTGAAGTTGAGATAAGGCTGGAACCTCTCAAAATGCAAGAGGAAAGTACATCTCTGATTCATCTTTGTTTTGTTCCAAACATCTGTTTATGCTGGTGTATGTCTGCATTGGCATTGTGTTGACTTCTACACAAGCAATATGTGTGATTGGAGACAAGCGGACTGCAGGGGCAGGCAGGTGCCAATGTAGGTTCAGACCACTGGTCATTGTCTGGTCTGCATAACTGCAGACTTCCACAAGATTGAGTGGGACAATCTGGGGAAGATTGTGAAATGTGGGATGGGTTTTCAAATCTTGTATGAGAAATTCCTGAAACAGGTAGTGTGCTTCCATGGAGCAGCCCATGCTACTAAACAGTGACCTAAATTTGGAGAGATTTGAGGTTTTGGATGTTTGTTTTGTAGGCAGACACTGCTCTAAATAGATGACCTGCTCTGAATAGGACAGCATGCTGCACCATTTGGGACTGATCTGGTAATAACACACTACACACCAGTTATGGGATGTTGGCCTGGTTGTGCTGCAGTTTAGTGAGGGGTAAATTTTGCTTCATGAAGAGTGGTGGTATAGATGGATGATCTTTATTGTCATGTACATGATGTATTCATTTTGTTATTCCAGGTGCTGTCACAGTATCATGTGGATCTTTGGTTATGGGTCACTTATTTGGAAGGTTGATTTTCCATTTAAAACCAAAGAAATAGGCTACATTAAAGGGTATGTGAGGAGATTCTGGCAAGCTTCTATTGATCACAGAGGAACACCAGAAAAGGTAAGGAGGTATTTGAGATATTCACAAGTCTTTGACTCCATGAGTCCCAGAAGGAGACCTGCAGAGTGGGACAAGTGAGATGACATTGTATGCATGCTCGCATGACACCAGCCTTCAAAAAAAGATTAGACTAACAGTTGCATGGTTCAGGTTTTACTGTTTATGACCAGCCAGGCAAACCAACCCACACTCAAAAAGTGTGGTGGTCTGCTTTCCTTTGACAAATGGTGTTGGTTTTGTTTTGTTGTGCCTGTGAATTGTCAAGATCAGGACCTGATTTCAAGATCAGGGCCAGCTGTTTTTCAGCACTTGTTTAATGCCCACAACTTTTCTTGTTGCATATTAAGTCAGCCATGTCAAGTCGACCATCCAATAGTTGCGTAATGGTCACTGCCGTAATGGTTACTGCTGTGCCTCCGGACTGGGTGAAACAGTTGTCGGTCGGGCGTCGAATAGGCACACCGGCGAGGGCGCGAGCCCAGAGTTGGCAAACCTTACTCAGCGTCGGGTGCTCCGCCAAGAGAGTGGTGGGGCGGCGTACAAATATCGTGTGCAACAATGTATTGTAGAAATGATAGCATGGCTCCAATACTGATCGTGATCGTCAGCGAATCTGTGTAACCGAGACACTTCCTTTCAGCCGGGGAGAGTAGCGACGTTAGTTCCCTCTGAAGATCCAGAGGTAAGTGTCGTCGTTGGTCAGTTTTGATAGGAGTGCTTAGTCATGGACACCGATGTTTTTATGGTTTATGTCGTTAATGTAAGGCGTCAGTTTCGTAACGTTCTAACCTATAAGAGAATATATTCTCGTGCTGGACAGGCCTTGGAGCAGAATGACCTCCTTTTGGGTCTAATTCCTGCTTTCCTCGCCTGTCTAGTTTGTCATGGGGATTGCTGTAACAGCAGCGTTGTAATATCTACCGTGATTAGTCTGGCCAAGAGGTGACCGATTGGTCGCGCTGAACACCATCGTCTGGTGCGTCTGTTGGCCGACCTAGTGCGGTGTCACGCACCGCTGTTTCCGCCGGTGAGAACCAGCCGGCAGTGCGGCGGGCCCCACCGCCCCCGACTGCCGACTGGCCGGCGCGCTGCTGTGACCGGATCGCGCGGCGCTGTGATTGGCCAGGCGCGTGTCTGGGGCGTGGCCTACGAGATCCCGTCGGATGAGGTGCAGGCGACGCTGTCGCACCTGGACTACCGGGAGCGGTGCGGCTACGAGCGGCGTGCCGTGACGTTCCACCCGCAGGACGGGCGCAGGCCGCCGCACCAGCTCACCATCTACGTCGGCACTGAGGACAACCCCTACTTCACCGGGCCCACGTCCGAGGAGGAGCTGGCTGCGGTGAGCCAGGCCGCGCCGCGCCGCGCCGTGCGCTGTCACCGGCGGCACGGAAAGTAGGGGCAAGGGCGAGGGGCTGAGGAACCAACTTTCTGGGAATGTCGCATAGGCTCTATGAACACCGACAGTAAAGAAGTAACTAAAATATCCCCCCCCCCCCCCCATCCCGAATCCTAATTTGGGAGGACCCCCATTACCACCGCCTGTGGCAGCAGACGGGAGTAATGGAGGGCACTGGGCGTGCAGCCCGGCCGATGGACTCTGCGTTGGGCCCGGCCGATGGACACTGTGTGTGCGGCCTTCTTACCAGTGGCCGGTTGAGCAAGGCTAAGACTTACAACTATGACTCGCTTTAATGTCACTGCCTTCCAACATGTAGGACGGAAACGAATCGATTTAGTTACACTTAACATTGTTCATGAAGAGAACAAATCCAAGAAATAAGTAGTGTTTGGGTCGCATGTTGATAAGGTGCGACCTGAAAGGGGTTCTTGTATCGCTAAATGGAGCCAGCTGCAGGTTACGTTTGAGTGAATGTCCTGGCTGTAGACTGTGTTCCGTGTTCGGTGCTGGTTCTCGGATTGTCCTTACACCATGCGTCCAGAGATGGCTGTTCAAGATAAGTAGCTGCTGGCTTTTAATGGCTGTTACTCTAGGGCTACTTGTGTCATTACCTTTGGCGTGTGGAGGGTGTCGTCGGATGAATCGTACGTGTTAACCAAACCAAAGCTTCCTCTTCCGACCGATAGGTGGTGGTGGAAGCGCGTGGGATGGCCGGCCCCAACACGGAGTACCTGTACAACCTGGCCGAGGCGGTGCGGGCGACCATGCCGCACGCCCAGGAGAGTCACCTGTTCATTCTAGAGCAGGCGGTGCGGAAGCGCGAGCGTTCGGCGAACACCGTCTCATGATGCTGGCCTGTGACGTCAGTATGGCGTCACATTCGCTAGATCCGTGGGCTCGCTCACCCCCGCCACCCCATGACGTCACGGCAAGGCGTCAGCCTCAAATCTGGTGTTGGTGTTGCGTCGGTAATGCGGCCGTCCTCCCATTCTGTTGCCGTTCTGTTGCCGCCGTTGATTGCCCCCGGTGGTGTGCAGCCGATGTTCGAACTAACATCACGCTGACGCTCCCGGTGCTGTCCATTCAAATCGTGCAATACGCTGCGTGGACGTTGTTAAGTGCGTACTCGGGTTTCCAGTCCCTGTATTGGTACGTCTGTCGGGCTGACGGCTTCCGCATGGGTCCCGTGTCGGGGCCGGCGTGTCCGAGACCCCATCCGTCGCTGGCATGTCGCATTTGGTCGCGCAGAAAATACTTGTTTTCTATAGAGGAAATTGGTGGGTGCATGCTATCCATTGGTCTGCAAGGCAATAATGTTATGTTAAATTCCACCGAGTGGCATTTCTTGGCGTGCTTTGTTTGGCCATTGAAGGGTCTGCCGAAACGCTCGATGATTTTGCGAATGTATCGACCAATCCGAGAATCAGTGGACGTATTTGGACATTTGCAACCTATGCAGCGATAATGTTTTTGTTGGGTCTTTAGCGGTGATGCAATAAACAGTACAGAAAATTGTTCATATACCGTTTCAGAAATTTCGCGCTCCGCACGGATTCGGCAACATCACCACATTCCTCTCGATGTGTAGAATACTGGCTACGTCGGCTTAGGAATTGTATCGGCATGCCGTTATGTCGCGTTCTCCGTGTCATTGTGAGTTTGCCGCAGGGGTCCAAAAGGGCGCCACACGCGTCATACGGTTCCTTATATTGATACCACGGAGTGCGGCAGATACCTTCGTCACAAGCCATGTATAAGCGTTGACCGCGGGCAGCGGGCGTGCTGGGATTACAGGTACTCGCCAGTTAACCGGGAGTCCGGCCAGTGTTCGCGCCGCGGAGCGGCTCGTGCCGCCAGCTGGCCGGTGGTCCGACCGGTTTTCTGCGCCGGGGAGCGGCACGTGCCGCCAGCTGACCGGTGGTCCGGCCGCTGAACACCGGCGCGCCGGGGAGCGGCTCGTGCCGCCAGCTGGCCGATGGTCCAACCGGTGTTCCGTGCCGCCGGCTGACCGGTGGTCCGGCTGGTGTTCCGCGCCGCGGAGCGGCACGTGCCGTCGGCTGACCGGTGGTCCGACCGCTGAACGCCGGCGCGCCGGGGAGCGGCGCACACCGCCAGCTGTTCCTGGGAGTTCGTGACCGCTGTGGCACCATCCGGACGGGAAAGGCTTGAGTGTGCCCGAAACGTGCATAAATGAATGGATGAGGGCGTTTCAGGGCCTCGCGCGCGACAGGGGGAGGGGGCGCATTTACAGGCGCGCCAGACTGCCGCTGTTACACAGGTGGGCGATGACGAAGCTTGTGCTCAGTATTATAATGGTGTTGTCTTCATCCCATCGTTGATTTCCTTTCTTCCTACACTTCTGGGACCCGGGAGCGGGCAGGAACGGAGTCTGCCTGGGCCAATTGGAGACATTTTGTAGCAAAAGTAGATGTCAACGGCACACGTCGCCTGCAAAACAAACTGCTGGCCACTCCGAGGCCGTGGGCGGTCGTGGCTGCTGCCCCTGGCACCGCACGACGCTGCCCCACTCCAGCGGTGCCGGGCAGCGTTCGCTGACGGCGGGCCGGCGCGGGCCGGTCGGAGGCCGGCCAGCTCACGCCGGGCGGCACTAGGCCCAGGTCAAGTTGGGCGGCAACACCACGGCCACGATCAGCAAGAAGACTAGCCCCAGCAGGCGGTCAATCGCTCCGGCCAGGATCGCCCACTCGTGGTTCTTGAAGGAGTCTTTCGCTTGCTTTTGAAACTCGCCGTCGTGGGATGAGTCCAGCATTTCGTTGTCTTCGGGCGAGTAGTCCTGGAAAGAGGTGATTGGTTGCTGTCACGCGGATCCCGTCCATCATACCGACACCGCCTCCACAGGATGTGCGGATAACTCCCAAACAATCATCAGACGCACCTAGCGATAATGATCACCAGGTGCTTCCAGTCGCGCACCGGTGGTGATGGGCTGACAGTGGCGTGGCACGACTTCCATGTCGCAGCCCGGCGGCGCGTCGTCCCGCGACAGCGGCGGGAGGGACACAGACTCACGTGGAAGACGGGCGTGTCCAGACAGAGCAGACGGCCCACCAGGCCGGAGAGACATGCGCGCATCACGCGCGGTAGCGGGGCGCTGCGCGGCCGGCTCAGGCACACCACCACCACCTCCAGCGTGGTGAAGATCAGCAGCAGGGCCGTGAACGTCACGTAGAACGTGGCTGCCGGGGCGTCGTCGATCAACGTTATTCGGCGCGGCGGGCCCCGCTTCCAGAGCAAACGTCTGAAACATCATGCTGAACAAGGCTTGAACAGGCGCCCCATGGAGCCAACTACCAACTGTCAACTAAACTATAGGGACGAAAAAACTCAGATGAGAGTCCGGACAGCCATCAGTTCCGTAAAACCATGTGTGGAGATAAAGGATCATAAATTCACGGTGGGGTCATCGAAGGACCCTCTAAGCATGGGTCTTATAAAAAGGAAGAGCGGCGAGAAGTGGTAACGGGCAACGAACAGCGGAAGAACGAGGGACGTAAGGCAGTACCAAGGTGTATTCTCCCAATGCAAGACATTTTTTGCGAAGGGTCTAATGCGCCGAAAAAAACGATGCGTAAAAACGCGTGGAGTGGATTTGCCACGGATGACTAACATCCGTAGGAATACACGAAGAATCGCGTATACGAACTATAATGCGCGTGCAAAGACATGCGGTGCCATTAAATTCAAAGTAAAACAATCCATATGCGAACAGCGCGATACGAGGAATTATGTGTACGAATTATTGCCGGCACGTAGTTTTGTTTGCACCAGCACTGCGTACAAGAATTGGTGATACAAATATTTATGAAGCGAGTTTTACGTAAGGAAAATTGTAATGCGATTGCGTACGGCGAAACGCGTTAACGAGGAAGCAAAATGTTGCGGGGATCAACGGCGGCGGTCGCGGACGCGACGGTGCCACCTTCAATGCGAGGAAATCACGTGCTGTGTAAGCCACCGAGCACTTCGTCCGTCCGGCGCGGCAGTGGGAAGTGCGGCTTCTGTTCCCCAGTCCTCCCGCCCGGCCAGGGACTAACAGGGCTGACACATGTGTTGCAACTCCAGCATGGGCCGGCCTGTGGACCATGGGAGCAAAGGCCAACATGGGGCATGGGAGCATAGGCTAACCCTATGCCCTAGACCCTATGCCCTAGAAGACACCGGGCTGGGGGCGCGTCATCGCCGCCGCTGCTGCATGCGCCCCAGCCACAGAACGAAGAGCGGTAGTCAGGCCTTACCAATGGAGGCCACGCCGTGCGCATCGGTCGGCAGCTTGCCAAACATGTTGAGCAGCCCCAGCATGGTGAAGAGCACGCTGACCCAGCTGAAGGTCAGCTTCTGCGCCGACGACAGCGGCACCAGGAACGACAGCAGCATCAGCACGCTCGCGCCTGGCGATGGAGAAATGTCTCGGAATCAGACCGACGGCTTAGGTCAAGACATTCCCAGCCAGCCATTTGCTTGGTTAAAGGTCGCTGGGAAGGAAGGTTAGGGGGGCTGGGAGACATCAAATTTCCCCAACCGATGTGGGAAGTGCTTCCGTTTCCCAAGTTCCCCCGATGGAGCCCTTGCCATCGGTCTTCGCTTGTGATCCTCTGACCGGTCGTTGGGGAAAGGGTGGCAGATCCCGATCGGGACCGGGCATTTGTCAGCGCGTGATTGCCAACGGCAGCTCGGGGAACGCTCCGGACACCCCACGTGACAAATTTATCTTGGGAACCGGTATCAAGCAGGTAGAGATTCCCACCAGCGTCGCATTTTTGGAGCTTCACAAGCATTTCCCAGCCGAAATGTTGAGGAACGATCGGATTCCTCGGTCGGGGTCGGAGCGGTATTGCTGGCTGGGCTATGCCGTCACGTCACGGGCCAAATTTCGCAAAATGTGTTGGGGGCTGAGCAAAGAAACGAGTTTCTCTAGGATTTGGCCCACTTTCGTCATGGTGGGAGGGGCTGTAGGACTTGGCCTATTGCCTTGATGTTGCACTCCCCCCCCCCTCGCTATTCCCCCATCCCAACAGGAAGGAAAACTACACCTCTGCGTCACAGCGCTCAGCATCTATTCCTTTATTGGTGGATACAAAAAAAGGGCGGTGACGTCATGTCGAAGGGGCCTACTGCATCATATAATGCAACAACAGCGCAGGATGTGTTGCAACTCTACAATCTACATGTCTACAATCGCACTCCCGCAAATTCAACACTTTCAAAATGAGACACGTATTCGTGAGAGAACAATCCACTTTTTCATCCTGTTCTTGTTTCCTGCGGAATCTCGACAATGCTCACAGATGACGGGCATAGCCAGCTCGGCCGTGCGGTGTTCGTTTCTGCGCATGATGATGGTGAGGTTCAATGACTGGTACGGCTCCGGACAGCAGTCGTAGAAGTCGGCTTTGATGGTGCCTTTCGATTCCACAACCTGCCACTCTCTGTTGGGCCGAAGTTCGTTCACGTCCGGCTGCAACACGCATTGGCGTGGGCTCATCATCCGTTCGCCCGCGCAGGGTGAGGCGCCGGCGGGAGTGGTAAACGCCAGCGAGGTCAGACAATGTAGATATTCCTCCAGAGGATCATGGGTGCAACCTTGCGATTGGGGAAACATATCAAGATTGGGCAGGTCGAACTGGAATTTGGGGACAACCTGATCTGAAAAATGACATTTTACATAAGAAAGCGCAAGAAGTGTATCATCCGGGCAGATTTGAAGAAGACAATGTCCCATTTCGTGAAAATTATGGGGTGCGTCCCACAGCCCCCGAATGTTCACACCCATGCGGAGGATCGATTAGCACTTGAGCACGCACCTGGTATAACCATATGTCTGGGATCGCGGGGAGGGGTGGGGGGGGGGGGGGGGAGTGACCATTACATGTGTCAACCTTGCATGGCTCCTGAAATGAGCGGCGATGTGTTGTTCCGACTCTTTCGATGTGTTGCCCTCAAATCGAGGGCTTGCCTTCCGTCAAAGCCGCAGCAAGAGCCCCCAACGCAATCAGCTGGCCGCCGAGGCGTGGCATTACAGTGGCGCCATTGGAAACTCAGACAAACAGCAAACACCATGCACGTAATGATGGCATGCCACATCGATGACCATATATTTCACGGGTCGGTCAGATTCGGACAGCATATAGCATTGCATATCGCATATACAGCATAGCATATTGGTTGAACAGTATGTAGCAAGGTTAATTAATATATCGGCGCAATAACTCGCTTTGATTTAACCTGGGTTCACCGGAACCAGCACTCAACAATTCCAGTCCGATACCGCTCTGGAAGAGAAGTTTTTATTGTTTTTTTTCCGCACATTTGTTCAGATAACGTAATTATTTCCGGTCCTTTCCTCTCTGGTCACGCGAAAGTGAGGAGCATCCCGTGTCAGTAGAAAACGTAAGTGTTTCAGCCGCCGTGACCATGTCACAATCACCAGCGCTAAATTTTTGGCAGGCATTAGCTGTGTGGCAACTCTAGCTGATCATTACAATGCACGTTGTTCCAGAAAACCGATGAGCGTCATGTGGCTGCGCCTACCAGCGTGGAGCTTTTTCCATAAAAACCCATTCTAGTTTGGTCTCTCAAAACATGCAATCACACAGCGGCCTTTGTCGACATCCTATGAACAAGCTCCTTACGTCCGAGACCAGACAACTGCAGTCGCCTGGCGAGGGCGTCGGCCCTGCTGACTGATAGCCACTGACCTCAGAGGGCGTGAGCATGGACAGGTTGACCCAGTGACCGTCGTGAGTCCAGGAGCCGAACTTGATGGGACGGATGGCCACTGACCTCATAGGACGTGAACATGGACCGGTTGACCCAGTGGCCGTCGTGAGTCCAGGAGCCGAACTTGGTGGGACAGGTGGCCTCTGACCTCATAGGGCGTGAACATGGACCGGTTGACCCGGTGGCTGTTGTAAGTCCAGGAGCCGAACTTGGTGGGACAGATGGCCACTGACCTCATAGGACGTGAACATAGACAGGTTGACCCGGTGGCCGTTGTAAGTCCAGGAGCCGAACTTGATGCAACAGGTGGCCGTGTCGCGCGGCCAGTTGGTCCGGTCGAGGTCGCAGCGCGACGACAGGCGCACGGGCGGCACCCACAGCACCGTGCCGTCGCTTTCGACGATGGCGTTTGATCGCGGGTTGTCCGTTATGTGGCACGACCGCTCCCAGCTGCCGGCACACGGAGGCGCACGTGCTGGGCGCAACGCCAGAGTTGACCGGGTGATGTCCCGGAGGGTGGCGGTGGCGGCGAGGCGCCGCGTACCACAGATTCTCGTCGGCTTGGAGACATTGTTCGCGTTTTTTTTTTAAGAAGGGGAACGCAACGCACGTCAAGCATCCTTTTATAGAAAGGCAGCGACGGCATTGGTCAAATCAACGCTCAGGGGCCGTGACAAAAGCGGGATCACACGCTCAGGTTCTTACTGTGCCACAACTTTCAACGTGTTTACAAACGCATCAATGGGTACGAGACAAGCTGTATCATTGCGAGTGTCATTTGCCTTGCAAATATACTGGCTTGATCCAGGGCACGCTGCGTATCTACGGTCGTCGCAGTCGACTACACCCCGCCAGTAACCCACCCATTATAGTGGCAGATATCTGGAGTCCAGATCACGGCTGGATTGAACATGCTGGTCTTGATGCCGTCGTATTCGGAGGGATCCCAGCGCAGATATTGGTCAGTCCATTTCTGCCGGGTTTGCAAGCCACACAGTGAGTGAGGGAAGGAAGGCTGTGGAACGGGGTTCACGACCTGCGTTTTGCCCGTGAGACTTCAACGAACTTATGCAGCATCGCACAACACCTAAGTTTCCTAAAAAACAACAACAATTTGTTAGCAGCGAACACGATGGATCGAACTCGCGCTTCACCAGCGTACTTCCTATCTGCATGCATAGCTGCGTATAAAATGCAACGTTCACGGTCACCGATGTACTACTTCAAAGCATTCATTCAAACGCAAAGTTCTAACCACGAAAGAATCCAACAGAGATATCTCATTTGCTTTCCAATTTTTCCAGAGCATGGCCACCTTCGGCCGACACCCAGTGAGCCAAAGGCACATAAAAACACTGGGTAGCGAGTCCCTTCTAACGGCCAGGATCGCGTTCATTTCTCAACTCATCTACACCCATCGACTGGATAGCGCCTGTCATCGCCACTGATGCCATTTCATCCAGACAACGGTGCAGCTCTGATGTCTTTGATGTGGATGAGACCGCGGTGCGCGAAGGCTCGCCTCAGGGCTTCTTGTGTTCTCACCATTCGCATCCACACCAGGGACTCCATCACGTCCGAGTTCGAGTCCTGGGAATAGACCACGGCGGTATAAGCACAGCCACGCGTCGGGAAGACACATACCAACACACTTCCGAAAGACTGGAGTCAAACAAAGCGCGGGCTTCAGCTCGAATAGCACACAAGACGCACGTAGGGCAATGTCCGAGCTCAGGGCTGGAAAGCCCTGCCAGCTGATGACTGAGGTGTCAAAGCCCATCAGCTAGTCGACTTCGCATGGGGTGGATGTTGCACGGACCGGCGGGTCACCAGAGAGGTCTGGCGCGGCGGTAGACCAACTCACGAGGGTGGACGTCGGGTCACCAGAGAGGTCTGGTGCGGCGGTAACCAACTCACCAGGGTGGACGTCGGGTCACCAGAGAGGTCTGGCGCGGCGGTACACCAACTCACCAGGGTGGGCCGTCGGGTCACCAGAGAGGTCTGGCGCGGCGGTACATCGACTCACGAGGGTGGACGTCGAGTCACCAGAGAGGTCTGGTGCGGCGGTCGCAAACTCACCAGGGTGGGCCGTCGGGTCACCAGGGAGGTCTGGCGCGGCTGTCGCAAACTCACCAGGGTGGGCCGTCGGGTCACCAGAGAGGTGTGGCGCGACGGTACGCCAACTCACCAGGCTGAAGTCGATGAAGCTCATCCCCAGCTTCGCATTGACGCTCGCGGACTCGTTGAGAACCGGTCGCACCGCCTTGTTGTACCCGGCCAGAAGGTCATCGTGCAGTCGTCTTTCGGACGGCACACAATACCCTGCGTGGCGGACCAGGTACAGGGGTCACTCAGGCGGACCCAAGTACAGGGGTCACTCAGGCCGACCCAGGTACAGGGGTCACTCAGGCCGACCCAGGTACAGGGGTCACTCAGGCCGACCCAGGTACAGGGGTCACTTAGGGGAACCCAGGTACTGTCCTCGCTATGTGCCCGCGAAGTTGCGCAAACTATTTGGAGACACTATTCCAAAGTTACTCAGGTATTCATAATGTTATAATAACGTCATTCAAATCCTGTCATTTCATGAGCCGTGCGGCGAACAAGGCCAAGGAAAATATAGCTGTTGAGCCCTTCATAACCTGACGTTCGTGAACACAATTTCCAGGTACAAAGACCGTCAACTGACTCGCAACAAAAGTTGTAGAAGGTACGATGACACAATCACACAATAAAGTATTGAGGGACATGTACTTAAAAGTAAAACATACTGTTCTAGACGATACCATTTCTCTACTTAGTAAATAACAATAATTATAAGTGAGCTTATTTTATAATATCGGATGCAAGCTTCCATATCTTCAAATATGAAGTGTTCCCTTTAAGGCAATATTGTTCACGTCCGAATACACTACTGCTGATTCCGGTCAAATAAACGTTTACACATGTCTTGGACGGAAGTTACATAATAAAACAACCTATTCGCATTCTCTGCTGATGTGGTAGAAAATTGACTGGGTTACGTCACCAAAGCTATCAGGAGCGTAGGAAATAGTTTCATAGGAGAAACGTAGAATAGTTGCGTGAATAAGCAAGTCCTGCACGCAAAAGGAGTTATAGGCAAAAGATAGACCGAAAGGCATTGGAAGGTCCTTTTACGGTGGGCGCCGGCATGAAAGCAGGTCTTTCAAATGCAACCTCAAAAGGCTCGTGGCGCCGCCCTTAAATGAAAAAAACAACAGGCAACAAAAAAGAAATCACCAACGCAAGTAGTGCAGCATGTCAGTTTGAGGGAAATCATGTGTCCGTCTATGTTTGGACGCTTGGGGGGGGGGGGGGGGCATAGCCAGTCATGTTTGAAGCAACATCGTTTGAGAATGAGTGCGCGAGCACTTCAACAACGCATTTTCAGGCCTGCTAATGTCACTTAAGACAAAGATACTCCAATGCAACGGTGTGACTGACTGGTATATGTTCCAAAAGACATCTGGTTCTATTATTCATTTGTGTATGTCCCAAAAACATTTGGTTGTCTTACTCGTGTGTATCTGTTCCGAAAGACATTTAATCGTATTACTCATTTGTGTATGTTCCAAAAGACATCGGGCTCTGTTCATCTTGTTTGAATTCTGTTTTTTCACATAATGTTGATGATTCATTCTGTTATCATCTCGCTCTTCCCATGCCCATTAAGGCGCCTTACTGAACGGCATGAGGGTAAAGCCTCTTACGTCTATATTCAAGCAAATCTATGCTAATGTTACGGAAGCTGTGCAGGACCCAGACTCTACGACCACTTGCCGCGGCTCGGCTTCGCAAGACCGCGACCTTCACCGTGCCTTCATCAGGCCTTGGCACCACTTGCCGTGGCTCGGCTTCGTAAGACCGCGACCTTCACCGTGCCTTCATCAGGCCTTGGCACCACTTGCCGTGGCTCTGCTTCATAAGACCGCGACCTTCACCGTGCCTTCATCAGGCCTTGGCACCACTTGCCGCGGCTCGGCTTCGTAAGACCGCGACCTTCACCGCGCCTTCATCAGGCCTTGGCACCACTTGCCGTGGCACGACCTCACCAGACCGTGATCTTCACCGCCTTCACCGGGCTTTGGCACCACGTGCCGTGGCTCGGCTTCATCAGACCGCGACCTTCGCCGCCTTCATCAGGCCCCGTGACCACTTGCCTTCGAGGTCGGAGTTCACCCTTTTCTTCACCACCGTAATGCACTTTTCTTGCACGCGCTCGTGCCTTCCAGATGCGCTCGGCCTTCAGCGTCCACCGCCTGAACAGTGTTCTGGCGATGGTTTACGCGCGGGATAACAAGGTCACTGGTCCTGCAGAGCCCGCCTGGTAGCGGCGTCAATCGGCTACATCCCCCGGACGGCCGGGCGACGTCACAGGCAGTGAGTCGGCACAAGCCTCGGGACAACAACGTGCCCGCGCCGCGCGGACTCACGACTGCCAGCGAGACGCGAACAGTCACCGGCATGGATTACGCGGGTCTGAGCTGTGGCGCTCAACACGGCGCTTTGGTGATGATCAACCAGAGAGGGCAGAGCAGGCATGCCTTTGTTGATCAGAATATGCAAGAACAACGAGCGGGGGAAGGGACGCGCGCTTCAATCTGCGTGCTTCGATCGTCAATCGGGCTAAATTGGTGCTTCAATCTGCGCAGATGCTGTTTTAACGAGCTCGTGACAAACCACGTGCTACGGATAAAAACTTCGAGGCATTGGTTTTCAGGATGTGCGCAAATGTGCGCACAGATTGCTTCATCTATGTGCGCAAACACAGGCCCACATGCATGTCTAACTATCCATCATCCATAAACAGGTCACAACGAGTGCCCACTCTTGTCCACCGCAGCGCACAGAACCTTACGCTGAAGGAAATGTTCCACATTTGAACATATTGAAGTAAGCATCAAATGTAATGAAATAAACTAACTGAAGCAAGCGGCAGATATGAAAAACATTAACTAACTCCTCACTACTGCCATCCTTTTAAGTGGAAAAGACTGTTCCAGAAAACAAAATTTATCTATTTAATAAACATACTCCTCAATACGTCATTGGCTGCGTCATCGCACCCTGCACAGCATTGAATGAGAGTCAATCGACGGCCACAATGCCTGGAAACCGTGATCACGAACGCCAGATATGACCGACTCCACAATATATTTGCTCGACCTTGATCACAGCATGGCCAATGGAATGGCATCATCTGAATGACGTTATCGTTGCGTCATGGATGCCTGAGTGACCTTCAGATAGTCTGCACCAAATAGTCTGCACATCTTCGCGGGCGTATAGCTCAGAAAGTAAAGGGGTTTAGGTTTCAATAACAGCAGAACTGTGAAATGTACTGGATGACCTTCGAGATGGCTATTTCTGTTCAAAACCCGATACAAATGCGGCCCACCCCATTTAATACCGTTATCAGTAACTGAGATGCTGAAGGCAGCAGCACTCCTAGCCATGAGATGTGAAAGATAACAAACAAACAAAAAAACGAGTGTAACCATAATTATCAGTAAATCACTATGAATGCTGTCAAATGTTTGGGATATTGGCCCTCGCTCCTGCTATGATGAAGCCTTACGTTCAACCTACAAGATATTGCTATATCTCCAGATTTGTTTGATACCTTTTCTCATGAGAACCATTCCCTCTTTCTTCACAATTTACCAATTTCAAAACCGGCTGATCTCGACAAATTCCAAACTGGAGTGAAAAATTTGGCGAGCGCAATAAGCGAAATCATTTTCAAAGGCAACTTATTTTGTGACGCAACTTTTGCTACGGATGCCAGCTGACTCTTCTGATCCATTGGCTTTGCCAGTGTGTCAGTATCAGTATCCGTGTGTTGGAAACCATCCACATGGTGGCCTTCACGGTTTCAGGTCACACAGGCCCGTACGAAAACACACAAAAAAGGTGTGCATAATGATATGAACAACGGTCAAAGAATTAAGACAGACCAATCAACACTTCATTGTTATGGTGTACGGAGAATGAATTGAAATTCCTCTTTGTGTACCTTTTATCCGCTCCATGTTGAAGAAAGAGCAAACGACGGACAGAGATCAACTAAATTATCAACAAAACATGCGTGTTAAGGCAAGAAGAAAGGTACCGCTCATTTAAAGGTCTTTGACAGGATTTAATCTCTCTCCTTGCCAATAATTCGTTCGCCATTCGTTACAAATCTACCAGTTTGGAAAGCGGCTTACTTTGGTACATTTCGGCTTAAATCAGGCACTAAGAATGTGTATTTTAGGACTTCTCCGTGTAGACGTGCATGTTGACGCTTCTTTGCTTTTGGATCTTTATCACTACCAATTTATGCGCTTCAGACTTGTGTTAAAATGTGTACTACCGCCCTTCATTCCTTCCTCTGCGCGCTCGCAGTTTTTTCTTCCATTTTTGTACTTCTATCTCCGTATCATGGAAAGTTGTGTGTAGTAGTAGAAAGAGATGTTTATAATGGTCGTTTCAGCCTCTTTTTCTCAGCCAGTTACCAGCTGACCGACATGTCGCACAGACTCGCGTTGAGGACACGATCCAGCATGCCTGTCACATACCAAGGTCAGAGTGCTGATTCTCCGCCAACTGAGCTGCAGGAACGGCTATGACAGCATCTGCTAGACTTGACGAAACTGCATAGGATTGGTGTCATCAAGCACCGGTAAAGGTGATTCAAGATGGGTCACATCAAGTCGGTGGCCTCCAAACAGTGACCACGATATTTTCCCAATAACCGTGTGCTGTATGGTGTGCAGAGAAAACGTCGGTGGGTAGCTCTTATCACACTGGACCACATACTGGTAACTGGAAAATGATAGATGGCTCATGTGAAATGTCAATTCGCAATGTCTTACCGTAAATAATGATGTACAATCAGGCCAGAAGGTCCCATATGTTCCCAAATGTGTTTTATTTGTACACACTCATTTGACCTTTTTGACCTTTGGTGCCCCATCTACGTCGATAATTTTGCCGTGAGATGAAATCAAAATAAAGCTGTTGTAGGTGCCAACTTTTCAACACCTGTTAAGTACTAAACCACTCTTCACACCTGCTGGATTTTATCAAATTGCGATATAAAATTTTAGCACTAAACCACTCTTCTAGCCTGTTTGATTTCATCGTATTGTTATACAAAATTCATCATTCGCTGGTTTTTTATTTTGCAACACATTCCTGCAAAAAATGTAACCTTTTGGCGTAGTTTCGATCATGACTTTATCGCCGTCAATTTTTGTTCTTTTGAACTTTTATACGTTGAACATTCCTATGCCAACTTCTATTAATGTTGAGCTGTTTCAATCTGATTGTTGACGTTCTCTCTTTTAACATATTGTTGCGAGTTTCCTTGTGATTCTTACGCGGCCTTGTGCTGGCTGGTTTCCAAACAATTATTTCCTGTTTGTTCGAGCACTGCAGCTTTTGGACATGCTTCTGCAGTGGCAGAGTCTCCACTTACCAGAAAGGAACAGCGATGCGCAGACAATGACGAAAACCGCTCTTGAAACCATGGTGCAGGTTTGTGGACGTTCCCTGCCGAAACACCAAAATAAGCAAGATGTTATCAATGATGGGAGAGGAGACCAACTCGGGGACACTCGGCGCTCTCCGTTCTACTACACCAGTTCGTCCCGGTGGCTGAGTTGGTTAGAGCGCCTGCCTTCCGATCCACCCACCCGTGGCGGGGTGGGTTCGAGTCGCTTCAGACGTTCGCTCTTGACAGGTACGGTCTGCGGCCGGTGGCAGCGGCCGCGCTAAAGGTCGGTTGATATTAGAGGGCAGGGCGGACCGTAACGAGCATTGCGTTACGTTAAACGTTCGCCATCAAATCCTGCCGTTGCTCGCAATGCGCGATCGGACGACAGAGGTCAGGGCTCGCACAACAAGCACTACCTAGCGTGAGCTCTGATCCCAGGAATTCATCCAATCAAAGAGTTGGGATCGAATCTTTAAAAACTGCTTATAAGGTGATGTTAATAGGGCCTCCGCGCAAACGAGTGAAAACAAAAGAGGCCGTTTTGTTGTGGGCGGAGTAGCGGACGGCGCTCCACAGAAGCTGTTTGGTCCTAGGCATCGGTGAATGGTCCCAACGCGATCAAGAAGTCCCGTTTCGGTTCAAAGGGCCCTACATAACCAAGACTTCAGTAATATTGTTCAGGATTCCAAGGCTGCAGGCTCCAGAGAAAATCAGGTTCTCAAACTCCTAGACCCTGAGATACTTAACGACATCGAGGATGGATCAGACATATCAATATCTCTGTACTATATCTCACAACACTTCGAACAACACAACAGGCTTAACCGACAGAGGTTCCAGACATTGCGCGCTCACTGGTCGAGATCACTGCAAAACCCTATGAGTCAGCTCACGCGAAAGCACACCAGACGTGAACTGCAAAGAAGCAAGCCGTACTTCTTCCAGGCGCCAGTGGCCTCCAAATATTCGGGAACTCGTGATTGATCCACGTTTGCACTGCCAAGACGGTCAAGGGGCCTTTAAAATGGATGTATGAAAGCAATTCACAGGTTGCAATAATAACAAACTTTATGAAACTCATTTCAGTTCATGACACTATCAGACCTTTGTTGGCCAAGTAACTTTGGGTTGGACGACGTTCTGAAACATTTGAGAGGGTTCCGAGACGGCCAACAACATCTACAAGAGGTAAACTCACTACCGATAAAGACTGTGGTTCGATAAAGTACATGTCTAACAATGCCGCCTGCTGGGACGGATACAAGCGGGTTATCTAGTGAGCGGAGGAGGCAGGTGACAGACTGATTCATTGTAAGGGCAAACTCACAATAAGCACGATATAAAAGTCGTACGTAAACCAGAAACGTAGTCGCGTCCAGCATGTACGGAATCTGTACCGGTCCTAAGTCCTGCATTGTGCATGCACTGACAGGCGTGCACGTTTAGAAACAATCAACGCGGTAAACGGGATGGATTTCGGAAACATTATTTCAGCTGACGAGAGCGGACCTCCTTTCCTTATTTCCCGCAGCACTGATCGAGCCAATCAGGCAGACCTCGACAGCGCTGGTCAACTCTCGAGGACACTATCCACCACCGGACGCAGACCATTGGTGGGCGGATGAGCCGAATCAGCGCCGCTCCAAACGCAGTTCTGCGGACTAGACCACGCGCTCGTGGCCGGGTCAGCCAGCGTTCATGGTGGCGCCTGTGGCCGAGCCAGCCAGCGCTCATGGTGGCGCCCGTGGCCGGGTCAGCCAGCGCTCGTGGTGGCGCCCGTGGCCGGGTCAGCCAGCGCCCATGGTGGCGCCTGTGGCCGGGTCAGCCAGCGCTCATGGTGGTGCCCGTGGCCGGGTCAGCGCTCATGGTGGCGCCCGTGGCCGGGTCAGCCAGCGCTCATGGTGGCGCCCGTGGCCGGGTCAGCCAGCGCTCATGGTGGCGCCCGTGGCCGGGTCAGCCAGCGCTCATGGTGGCGCCCGTGGCCGGGTCAGCCAGCGCTCATGGTGGCGCCCGTGGTCGGGTCAGCCAGCGCTCATGGTGGTGCCCATAGCCGGGTCAGCCGGCGCTCATGGTGGTGCCCGTGGCGGGCTCAGCCAGCGTTCATGGTGGCGCCCGTGGCCGGGTCAGCCAGCGCTCATGGTGGCGTCCGTGTAGCGATCTTGGTCTTCAGCCTCGCCTGGCAGTTCCTGAGAAACAACCACCCTGAGGAAGGCTATGAGGCATTAAGCACCTCCCGGGATATCCCCACAGCTAGTCAATAGTCGTCACAAATCCGACGAAAAAGTTACTCCCAGATTCTGCAGCCAGGCACGCAAGCGCAGCAAAGAGAAAGGTGGTTGTCAAAACCTAGGAATTCCGGAATTACTTTCTCCACACACAGTAGCATGCTGAAATGCGCGGCGACGGCCCTACGCAGTTTCTGCTGAATAAGCTGGCGTAGAGCCGGCCGCCCTTAGAATGCCAAAACGTATTGCGCGGCTGCAACACTTATGACGTCTTTGATACTTCTGCTTCATAAGACACACTCTCATAACAAAGGACCGTCGGATAAGTAGTATACGTAATTTGTTCTGAGTAAATGATTAACTCACCGGGCTGAGGTGAGTCGTTTGCAGCTGACAATAAATCCATAGGACTGCGTTCTATTTTCGGAAGGAAGCTCGTGCGATAGCGTTTAATAACGATGCAGGTGGCATACCTCAGATCTGCGGTCTCCGACACTCGCTTTTCTAGGTTCCTGCTGGCGGCCCAAGGCCATCGTTCGCCACCGCGCCGGCGGAACACCGATAGTTTTTGGTTTCTGCCATTAGAGGGCAGAAATGGAATAAGCCCTTGGTTCCCGGTATGTTTAAAAATGCATAATACTGATTGAGCGATTAGTAGGTCCATTTCAACAAGACGAGCAAACTGACCCTGACTCAAAGTCGATTGTTTCCAGTAAAATTCCTCTCAGCAATGTGAGAATAATAGTGCTTGTTTTGTATATATTTTCCGGATAACGCATGTTTGCTATTATGCGCCGTTGGTTTTTAATGCATTCTCGAACGACTTGAAGCAGGAATATAGCGTAATAATATTGTAGTTTTGCCACCGAGCGTAACATTAAGGCCCACACAAAATGCAATTCAGCGTTAGAAGGGGTGCTCCTCGTCAAAGAGCGTCCTCTACGCCACTGGTTCTTACGTCCAACCGAGGAAATGAAAGGTGGCTTTGGACCCGATGACAACAGAACACGAACTGTGACTCAGTGCAAGCTTGCAAACTAAAGTTGTGCCAAGGTAGCCCGTTGAATACGACGCGCTCGGGTGGGGCGGTCAATTGGTCCGACATATCACACAGTAAGAAAGGTACAACATTGTTGTACAAGGGTACAACATTCAAAAACTGTTCGGTTTCGGCCACGATATGATCGTCGACCTAGATGCCTAGCTATGACCTAGCTATGACCTAGCTGCATGAATGTTACTGAAATTGGTTGTTATCCTAACGTTGACTAGATAGGACAGAACTGTTGCCTTTCTCCTCGCAGAATAACAAGGAGAAAGGAAAGCTAGATGCATTGTTGCTTTGGCTACATGTCTTTATTGAAACGAATATTGGTGATGATATTACTGATACTAGTGATCTTCCATATCCGCTGATACTCATATCTTTCTTTACCTTTCCCTGGTTGTTGTAAAAGGCATAAGGCTTACAGCGCTGTATTATCTATATGCATTATGTGCACGCACACACACACCCGCAACTGCACTTAACAACTTGCCCTCTGCTTATTGTTTATTTGTTCTTGTCTAAGCCTTTGTTGCCGCACTAACCTTGGAGTTGCCCAAAGAAATGTCTTTAATAGCAGCCATAGTCTGACGTTCAATCACTAAAGGTCCATTATTTTAAAATACATATCTTATTGTTTGCACCACAAGATCAACTATTCCACGGTCTCCGTCTATGCCAAGTTTGACGTGGCCACGCCGCACTGTTAAAATACTACTTTGGAAAATTGTGAGAGGGTTGAATGAGCCTGTCCGCACTCGAGCACATGCTGAAATGCGACAAGACCAATAATAATATGGGTTTTAGGGTCAGTTTTAAGAATGCGAACAGCCTGATTTGTAAATAAGGAAATAATAACGGTGACATTATCTTGTGTCGGCATTTTGCACTCGGTATAGCAACTCTAACTTTGTAGTTACTTTTTGCCCGCTGGCTCACAGCAGTTGTCAAGCGATATTGGAAATCCCAGGCCGGTGGTGTCATTTGCCCAGCGTGCATATTTGAAAATGACAGGAGGTTTCAACCACTCCTTCTCGATCTGCTTCCTCTCAATATGAATTAGGAAGATCCTGCTCTGGATCAAGAGACCCTGTTTTGTGCTAAGGTTGGGGATTACTGGTTTTGAAGGCCTCCCTTATGAATCGGAATGTCTCTGATCCGGATTAAGAGGCTTCCTCTCTAGATCCCGATGTCCCTGTTCTGGATCAGGAGGTACATTTAGGCATCAGGGGACTTCCTATTCCCAAAGGCCCATCCTTTGGATCAGGAGGCTCTATGGTGGGCCAGGGAAACCGCTCCTGGAATTGGCGGCCCCTTATTCATACAGCAGGTCGTGGTCGTGACAGCTAGAGTAAGACGTAAAACCGTAGCAGGTCATGTTTGATCTGCACTCCGATGCACACGTTTTTCGCAACTCCCCCCCCCCCCCCTCTCCCCCCCTCCAGTCCCTAAGACATATTGACTGTTGCGCATATGTCCCAACCGAAGGAATTTGGGGGGTTGAGCCTATAATGATGCTTGCTGGAATGACACATGCCGTTTTTCCTGTGAAACTGTCAGTCTGTTTCCACCACACTGAGAGGGAGCACCGCACAATGACACAGGCTGTCAGTTGTCTGCATGACCTCCGTCACTTTGAAGCCCGCATCTCTTCCTGAACTATCTTCGTCGATCGGCGGACGAGCAGCTCGAGAACAAAGGGTGTGGACGTTATACCGACAAGAGCAGTACGCCGATGTCTCCCTGTGATTGGTCCGTATATGCTGCGGATTATCCATTGCTCATT